ATGTGAAGGGAGAAAAACATGAATTACAGGATATTCCACGATAACAATATTGGCCAACTGTTTCCTTATTGGGGCCTTCATATCTAATTCACGAACAGGTGACTTGGGTCCCTGCAGTGGCACACGCACAGAGATGTGGTGTAAACAGAAAAGAAAGGAAAAAATCAATACATCATCAATTGACAAGCATCAACCTAGAGAATTTTCAAAGATCAGTAAATTTAGAAACATGATGATGTGGTAATCAAACTTCAGTAAATCAACCATGATTATTAGATAACCAAAAGCGAAATGCTGGCTTTAAGATAATAATGACCATATATCCTCCAAATAAATAACAAAACTACAAGAGTGACACAGAATAATCTAAATAAAAATAATGCCAAGTAAACCTAAAATGAGATCCAAAGTGGCAAAAACTAGTAGCATAACTAAAAGGTAGAAACACACATAATAAAAAAGTTTAAGATATAATTATACTAGGTAATGGACATCTGAAATCAAGATTTTGTTTTCTCTACTTACTTCGGGTCTAAATGCTTTTCTGAAAATTGAAAATGAATATTCAAGGACCAACTAGCATCCATATGACCAAGGAAGAAAAGGGGAAAACCATATCCATATTAAGAAATTAAAAAAGAAAGGAACAATAAACCACCTTCGGATACTTTCGGATGAAAAACTTGAGATTTTCCAGCTGCTCCTCAGAGAAATGTTTTCTGTTCGTTTGAAGTTAATTTTCCTAATAAAAGTTCAAATGATTTATAGGAAGTAAGAGGACTCACATTGAAAGGGTGAGCAAGAGGAACGTTTGTTTCAATTCTCCATGAGTAATGCTCTGCTGGAGATCCCATTCCTCTCTATAAACAGCAGCAAAAGACACACCCTCTCAGCAATAACTGCAACAGGATGTCCTCATACAATCAATCTACAAAATTTCTCCTGCAATAGGATATTCAACTAGCTTCCAATTTTTCATTTTCTTGACAAGAAACCAAAACAGAGCAGAGACATGAATTAGTTAAGTTATGAATACTTTCTAATAATTTAAATTCTTATTTGTTTAATGTTCTTTCATCAACAATGTAAAGCCCTAGGAAAAAAGGGAAATTAAAAGAAAAGGTAAGATAGACATTGCAACTTCTCTGAGGGAACTGAAACAAGGTAGGCGACATGGCCAGGTTGGAGATTCTGCAGCCAGAGGTTGCAGCAGATCTCATTTCAGTGATGTCTATACTCATAGTATTGATCCCAACACAAGTCAAATAAAGGAATTGGTCTTTTTCTGCTGAGCCTCAACTCCAATGGCTCTGCCAAGGGACCAAGCTGGGAAGACAGAAGAAATGTGAATCACAGTCCCCTGGCAAATAAGTAGGTAAACAATACCAGTTGATTAGCAGCAGCACCATACCTTCAACCAAGGTAAAACAGTCTTTACACATAAATGAGAAAAGATTAAACAAGCACCCATATTTGCAATTGCAGGCATCCATCCATCTACAAAATATAATAGAGGCTTAAAAATTCAAGAGCTCTGAAACTTTAATACTGTGGAAAATAAGATTTAGTATCACAAAACAGTCAGTCATTTCATACATTTGGGAAACCAGTTTTGTGGGATAAAGTCCTATCCTTCATTAAGGATTCCTGCAAAACTTAGAAAACAACTAAACTACTCCATGCAACATGAAGTCCACCGAGACGTGGGTCAATCAATGTATATGTTTGTTTTAGTTTCCTTAATGCTAAAACTCAAATTGAAACAGAAAGAATATATATTGAAGAGCAAATGAAATAAAAAGAGCATCTTTTGGAACTAGATTTTCATCTAAACTAGTGAATAATATTTGCAGCACAAAAAACAAAAGGATCATAATTAACATCGGTAAAAGAAAAAAGGGGAAAGGTAACAAACCCTAGTTTTGAATCATCAGATTGGGATAAAACTGATGAAACTAGTCATCTACTTGACAATTGATTGAGTTGAAACTGAAAATCATCCTTACCCAGGATAACACTCTTTATCTCCTTGACAGGTTCCCCAATCGATCGGGATGAAACCGATTCCTTGTTCCCGGCGAGAATACGATTCATCTGATTGTCAGGTTCTAGGATCGAAGAGGATTGAAGTGAATCCTCCCAGTAGAGAATGTCATCCTAGATCGGACCGATCGGATCAAAGAAAGACGCTTTTATCGGTAAAGAGCATAAAGCCCGAACAAATTTTCCATACTCATGGATGCTCAGCAAATTGCTTGGAAGTTGAATTGATGGAATCCCATGAAATTGGGATAAAACCGAATCTTTCTTCTCCTTCTCTTCCTGGTTTTTGATTTCCATGATCGACTATAATAGCTTGTTTGATTTTAGAGAAAGGGAGGGAGGAGAGGAAGATAATTTCCTTATTTAGTTAAATAAAAAAAAAACAATAATTATAGGGGGAGAGGAAGAGTTTTTCTTTATTTATTTATTTGTATTTTTTTATATTTTAATGTAATTAAATAAGAAGAGGGTTTTATTTCTCTCCAATTAAACATAGAGCAAGGGTTAATTAAGATAAACATGAGTTTAGAAAACCATAAAACACCAGGCCAGTTTAGATTTATCAGGAACATTTGAACTTAATTCTGGATGTTTTAACACTAGTGAAATATGACTCCGAAGTTATAATTTAGTTAATAAAAGGGTTTGCTATTGCATGATTGAAAGTTATATTTTATTGAGAAGTTAATAAAGAAATAATATTTTATAAATTTTATAATTTTAACATAAATGACTTGTTTTTAATTAAATTAAAATGCTAGTGAAATATGATTTAAAAAGTTGTAATATGGTTGAAGGTTAAATTGTTTTGAGAGATTAATAAAAAGATAATTTTTTATAAATTTTTTAATTTTAATATAAATGATTTACTTTTAATCATACTAAAAAAAAATTAGTCTCGAGATATATATAAATTAATCCAAAAATATCTTAATTGTTTTTACATTAAAAATGCAGTTTCTATTATAAATTTATTTTAATATTTTTAATAAAATAATATAAAAAATAATTTTATTAAAAATTTTTAAGTAAATTTATAAAATAA